ATATGTATGTATATATATATGTATATATACATATACATATACATATATATATAAATCAAAATAGGATGTAAGAAAAATCCAAAATGTTTTTCGAAATGCTATATAAATAAATATATAAATAATAACAGTGCTCAGATAGGAACATAAGATGTAATGATCATACCAAATGTGGAGGGGTCACCTAAAACTCCAGGTAGGTGCAGTTAAGTGGGAAAGCGACTGGACCGCAGCTTTGTTACAGGGGTCCGATAGAGTATTGGTCAAAATTTTAAGATTTAATATTCGCTTTTAAGTTTATTACAAAAATTTTAAAGAAAATGTGTATTCAGTACTTTTATCGACTGTCTTAAAAAATTAGACCTTGTCGATTTGGGGTGGGATGTTGGTGAGCGTACTCACCCACTCATATTAAAATAAAGCTTCATTAACATGTACACTTTTCATAATGTAGGCCTATTAAATCAATCAAACAATTTTATTTTCTGAATTTGTATTCCTATACCTCATGAATGTATGAATAAAGTTTCCAAAAAGTGTTTTAATCTAATGAGATTTATACTTAATTAGGCCTAATTAACAAAGATACCAAAATGAAAATAGTTTGAATGTATTTCTCACTAGTTCAATCTCTTTTATTTCAGTGTCTCAGGTCTAATCTACCGATCCATCAGTAAGTGGGAAGTCGATGTACAATCATTGTCAGCGGAACACGATGTATATTAAATTTCCGGAACAAAAGATGCTACCAATAGCCGGATTTATGAGGTCTTAATTCTACAAATAACCGTGCGCGGATATTTATTAAGATTTATATATTCACTGGATCGCCGGAATTGAATCAAATTTGCCAGTTATGTTTCTTATACAACGAACAAGTAATTCTCGAAGGATATTACATACTTAAATATAATTAGGCCTAAGCATTACTATATTATATAAAACTATAATCTTTATATTCTATTTATATTACGTTTATATAGTTCTGATGTAACATTTCCGAAGTATGTAAGAAATAAATGTAAACTGAAGTGTAATTTATAATACATCATTGTGTGTACTTCCTTTGTCGTAATTGCATTAATATTATATATTTCATGATTATTAATCAGTATATAATCGAATTAAATATATTATAATCAATTCGAATTCGAATATAGCACTATTACAGGCTACTGTTCTTATAAACATTCTTTCTAAATATATTCACACGATACCAACAAATTTCGAAACTTTTAAGAGCAAGGTGCTGTCGAATTTTACAAAACAGGAAATGACGTCGGTTGCCAGGCTACAGGTCATGCATATTCAGTACACCTGTGCTCATTAGACTAACAATAAAAACTTTTAGCTCAGTTTTGACAAAATCGACCAAAAAGATTTTATTGTTAGTCTAATTAGAACAGGTGTCACTGAATATTCATGATTATGCATGAGCTTGACTGAATATTCATGATTATGCATGAGCTTGTTGCGTAGCAACCACGTCATTTCCGGTTTTATGATTTTGTTGAGGGCGTTCTCAAAAGAATTGCTAGTTTAATAATTAAAGTAGCACATATATTGATGAAGCAATTCTTCACTTCTGGTTTAAGCTTATGATAAGGATATTTTAGCTATTGAATTTATTACAGTAATCACAGACATTAAATAAAATGAGAAGAGATGCACAATTCCATTTGATGTTTATTTTCAAGCATTGAAATCAAGTTGGGATATATGTATACATTTTATATTTATATACTGTAGGTCTATATCATGTATATCCAGCAAAAATCAATAGACCTGATTTTAATCCTCAAAATGTTATATTTTATTATCTTACATGTCTATATTCTTTACAACAAACGTGTTACTTTATTAATAAGATAATTATTAGCAGTAATAATACAATATTAATAAACATACAGCCTACAAGAATTAATAGGGGCCTACATATTGCTAACATTATTTTTGAGATTTTTGCAGAGGGAAAACATTTAAAAAATAAAATTCACGCTATATTAATTTCATATCCAGAAGCTTGATGAGTGACACAATTTGTGGCTATCTATGAATAATTGGTAAGTTGTCATTTCAGTCTGGACATTCTTTCCTGGTAGTTGTGGCTTATCTGTCTACATCACTGGAATAGAAAAATATTGAGAAAAGATTAAGAAACAGAGAAAGAATTATAATGGAGTATCATCAAAACATAATATATAAATAAAAACAGTGGCAGATCCAGGAGTTTGAAATAGAGGGGGCCCATGGGGAGGGACTTTGCCAACTGAAGGGTTCCCACCACCTCAGGCTCAGGCCCACCATGGTTGGGGAGGAGGCAAGAAACTTTTCCTGTATTGCACCTCTAGATGGCCAGAAATAGCATTCTTAGATTTCAAATTTGAATGTAATTTTCTTTTTTTTTCTCAATTTTTTACAATTTTAAAAGATTTGGGTTGGGGGAAGGGGGGTGGGCAGGCCGACTCTCCTCCCCCCTCCCCCTTTTTAATATCCGCCACTGAAAAATTAGTGAGCACCCCAACATTAACATTATTGTATTCAGTTATCGCAATGGGCAATGCTGCTGATACAACATAATAGTACTTTTTTATCATATCAGCATTATCACATTAAATATTATTTATAGTATCATCATATTACGGAATGATGTGAGAATTATTAATTACAGGTATTGGGTAGGACTAGTAGATCGCAATAGCGCAAACAAATTATTTCAGATTTCCGATTGTCATGAGTAAATAAAATTTATATAAAGTGTACTATTCGATAGAAATGAATATATAGATTCATCAATACAGTATATTCAAATAATAAACTATAACTATATCTTCATACAAAAATTGTCATGATATAATATTATTTGAATGATTGATTGAATATATTCGATGCTCAAACAGGCACAATCAAGATAACAAATGGATTAAAATCAAGAAAAGTAAAAATTACCGAGCATCCGGAACGCCCATTAGGTCAGAGTCCAGTCTATTTCCAATGAGGTCCAATTTAAATACTATACGCTTGTTTGTCATGAGCTGAAAGATAAACAATGTTTTTCAATTTTCGACTTTCTTTTGGAGGGGCGCCATGAGCGTTTCCTGTTAAACGGAATCCGGCGTTTTATTTCATTATTATTACTCATTCTTATTATTATTATTATTATTATTATTATTATTATTATTATTATTATTATTATTATTATTATTATTATTATTATTATTAATCTTATTATTATTATTATTATTATTA